AACACCTCTCTCCTCACAGGCACCTTCCCCACTGCATTCAAGCAGGCTCAGGTAACCCCACTGCTCAAAAAATCTCCATTAAACACGTCACTTACAGATAGTTACAGACCTGTCGGTCTTCTTCCTTTCATAGCAAAAACACTTGAACGAGTTGTTTTTAACCAGGTATCATTATTTCTTACACAGAACAACCAACTGGATCCTAACCAGTCAGGTTTCAGGAGTGGCCATTCAACTGAGACTGCGCTACTGTCAGTCACGGAAGCCTTGCGGATTGCAAAAGCTGATTCCAAATCATCAGTTCTTATTCTGCTGGATCTTTCTGCTGCTTTTGACACTGTCAATCATCAGATCCTCCTTTCTGCCCTCTCTTCAATGGGCATCACTGCGGGAGTTCACACTCCCGAGTCGAACTCGCAAAGTCCGAACCGAGGACGCAAGTCCGAAATTTGCATACTTGGTATTGAGAAAGGCGCGCAGACCTACATCACCAGACTATTTGCCTAATTCGCACTGTATTTTAGATTGCGATGGAAACGCAGACAGCAACAGGTCTGGGGGGAAAAAGTTCCTGGAACAAATTGTTCCAGGCAATTTCAGTGGAAAAGCGGCTATACATGTTAATGAACACAATACAATGCCTCTTTTCAAGACACATCTGACTCACCTTTTTTCTAAGAGAGCAGTGTTTTAAACACTGCTATTACCACAAAAAAAAAATGTAATTAATCCTGGGTTGCCAGATTATGAGATTTCACACTGAACATAAACTGAACACAGCATGAAAGTTTCTGAGATTGTTCAAAACACATGAATATTTAATGAGGTGAGCACTGAGGCAGTTTATGATTGATTGTCTGTTGCAAAACAACAACATAACATTCTAGCACTGCATTGTTTCCCACTGCATACATTTTGCACAGTAAAATAAGTGTTAACCCTGCTTTCTACCAGGGTTAAAACAGTGCTGAGCCCTCTTTAAAATTAGTCTACAGTGTGAAATTATGTTTAGCTCGTGTTAAAACTGAGGTTTACAGAGAGGCAGTAATGCAGAGGAACGGAGGAAGAGATATAGACGGTGAAGTGTATATTGGTCGGATTCAGTCCAGTCTGTTAGCGCTGCTGTTCTGTGTAATCTTATCAAGCGCATCTCCACCACCAACTGAAAACGTGAGAAAAAGAAGTCACATAATAAATGTTCCCATAGAAAACAAACACTGCTGTTTGTGCAGCGCCATGCTTGCTGTGCCAAAAATCTGCAATCCTGGATTTATCCACGGAGGCAAAGCCAACAGGACCTTGTGATTGAGTGAGATTATCAGCGTGTGTGTGTGTGTGTGTGTGTTCCTGCTGCACGCTCACGCACGTGTCCCACCTGGACAGTTCGATTCTCAACCTCAAACCTGCAATTCACCACAATAATAAAGATACAGAGTTACTCTAAACAGATCAAGAGTCTCATTGCGTGTAATCCAAGTACAGCTGTGTGCTGTTCACGTGTGAAATGCTACATAGTGTATTCCTGCAGCTATGTGTTTAAAAAAAATGCATTTAACATTTTTGATGTTGGCTTTATACCATTATACATTTCGATATAGTTTCTATTCAGGCAAGTTATGACCCTAGATAATTATACTGTATATAAATATCTCAAGATGGCTCACAGTTTAACATTTAGGTGTTTTGCATTTACTGAATTTTAAACAGATCCACTGACTGCAATAAATACCATAGAGTTATCAGCTGCACTATTGCATATTATAAGAAATGACTGCCTGAAGACTGGCACACACACACACACACGCACACACACACACACTCGCTCACACACACATATTGTGTGTTATTGACAGGCTTCATGAAATTCAGCCAAATGTCATGT